CCCCCCACATTTAAATCATGTCCACAAACTAAATACCTTTGTACATATCTTGCGTCCAATATCTTTTCTGTTCTGGTGGTCATGCCACAACCGTGCACGTGAATGCGTGCGTGAGTCATGGTGAGATATCTGGATTAAGAGGTTGCTTTTTCTTTGCACAGCATGAAAGAAAGGCAAAATGAATGGGCTGTGATTTTAGTATTTTTAAGCAGAGGTCAATCATTCGTACGACCCTCGGAGGATGTTGAAAAAATTGAAATGGCCCTTGAGAGGAAAAAGGTTCCCCACCCCTGCTTTAAAGGGATATTTGGGATGTTTTGAAGTGGGGTTGAATGAGGTACTTCTCCATAGTCGCTTTATAAGCTAAGATAAATGAGATAAGTTGTACTTTATTGATCCCAAATTAGGAATTTTATTGCATAACAAAACAAGGCATTGCATATATAAGTAGAAATTAAAAGAGTAGAAATAAACAATTCTAAAATAGAAACATTTCAAAATAGAAATAAAACGGCATTAAAAAGTAGAAAATATACAAGTTAAATGAAATATAAAATGTACGAGTGGATGCAAAACAGCAAAACATATTTAAGCTACCTAAAATATGGTGTAAAAAAATGTAAATGGCTTTCAATGTTCCCTACATTGAAGATATTTGTGGAACCTTTCCTTTACATCGGGCAGCCCTTTTTCCTATTCTCTCACCAAAAGCCACCGGACTCTTTTGACATAACAGTAGTTTTACTTTGCCGAACATGCAAGTTGCTAGACTAGCTTAGCCTCGATATGTTAGTCGGCTTTCTGTTATTGTGTGACTGGTTGATCCAGTTTCACCAAAGTCACACTATAAAGAGATCGAGGAAGCGCCACACAAAAAGCTGCTTTCTGCATGGTTAAATGACTGTTTTTTGTCTGGTGGCATCACATTCAAATGACTTTATTTTCATTGAGGACTTTCATTTGTGAGGTAGACAAATAGGACAGCTTTGGAGAGAGCCTAGATAGATATGACAGCTGCTCATCAAAAGGGGCTTTCTGACGTAAAGAGAAAGCAGCTCAAGTATTCTAAATGCAACATACAGTACACGTGAAGTCTTTTTCTTTAAGGTGGTCCAAAGACAGTCCTAGTGCATCGGTTAGACTCCATGCCGTAAATCCTGTGTGTTTCACTGTTCCTTTAAAACCATATCAGTGACTTTGAAACCTTTTGGAAAAGCCCTGCCCAGGAATTGAGGGCTGCTCCACGTAAGAGCAAACACGGAAGGGCGTCATCAGATTAGGAACGTGTAAATAGTCAAAGCAAGAAAAAAGCGTAATTCAGCCCCAACGTGCCCGGACAATGCTAAGGTTTAATTGTAACCTAAGTCATGTGTAAAGGGAGTTAAAACAACTGGTAGTTAGGATACCAAATATGTGTCCAGATAGGCAAAGCTAACCCTTGCTGTGTTGAGTACAAAGGATCGGCGTAGCCCCTGCTCATCTTGCACAATGATTAACAGGACTGGGCAGATAAAGAGGAAAGTGGTAGTGCAGCAATCACGACAGAGGGAGTGTTCAAATCCAAAAAGAGGCTTTATTGCTATCAAACTCAAAAAGACCTTCCATTAAACAAAGGCTAACGTAGCCAGGCCGCTAACCAACTTACCAGCTTACCAAAACGTTTCCTCACACTGGGAGCCTCCATGTGCCACACACAGCTGAGCAACTCTGTGTGCTTTGTCTCCCTTGAGAGAGTGATTAGCAGCAGGTGTGAGGTCTCCACACCTGCTCCCAATACTGCTACCCTTCCTCTCAGCCCCTTACACATGCTAGCAAACCTTTAGAAGCTCATATTTACAGCTGGTAACTTAAGAAAGGCTCCTGGCTCTGACCTCTGACCTCTGCGTGGAGGAGGGGAAGTGAAAGCCTAAAGTCTTTTCAACTTTTAAAATAAACTGCGTTGGTAAAAATCCAATCTCCTGAGGATGATATCATTTTGTGCCAATAAGTTCAGTTCAAGTGCCTCGATGTGTTCACATTCAGCTGTTGATCCTCTTCTCCTGTGTGTATCTGTGTGTGTATCCGTTGTGTGTCCGTGTGTGTAACCGTGTGTGTGTGTCTCTGCGTCCCTCCCGTAGGTTCTGTACAGTTCTGGAGTTCTGTGAAGGCAACGACCTGGACTTCTACCTGAAGCAGAACAAGCTGATGTCGGAGAAGGAGGCCCGCTCCATCGTCATGCAGATCGTGAGCGCCCTGCGCTACCTCAACGAAATCAAACCCCCCATCATCCACTACGACCTCAAACCTGGTGAGTCCCATAAATAACAAAGTTATTCAATGAATCATTGGAGTCATTAAAAGGGGCCTACTCTGTTTGTCATCGTGTGGTGTGTCATCAAGGTTGTAGCAAAGTAGGCAGAAACTCACAGTATAGTGACAAAAACAAGCTTTAAAAGCTGTATGTCATAAAAAAGGATTTAAAAAGTAAATGTAATGGTTTTCAAAAAAGCTAGAATTTGATGAAAAATATTACTGGAAGTTTGTATTATATTTATTGCCTTTTTCTTTGCATAATTGTGACAAACTACACCAAGTAGTTTTTATGTGATATTTTCGATATATACTATGACGTTTTTTTGGAATAAGATTATACAAAAAAATCCTAAATATATTTGATACATTAGTGAGTAAAGTATGTTTTGGTATAACTGTGATAACATCGTCTGCTTTGAGTGTTAAACACATACAAGTCTCTTGTTCTGAAAGCTGATAGTTGTTGTTCAAAAGTGTTGTAACAGTAATCCACCTCAAACTGGTCATACACGATGTTGTGTCCTCCTCACCGCTGTACTCCAGTGCAGCCCTTCCCTGTATTTGAGCCTGAGTCTCTGTCTCTGCAGGCAACATCTTATTGGTGGATGGCACTGCGTGTGGAGAAATCAAAATCACAGACTTTGGTCTGTCTAAGATCATGGACGATGATAACTACGGCGTGGACGGGATGGACCTCACATCACAGGGAGCAGGCACCTACTGGTAACACACACACACACACACACACACACACACACACACACACACACACACACACACACACACACACACACACACACACACACACACACATGAAACATTATCTGTCTTGTGTTACCGAACATACTCGTGATACATAACTATTGAAATAATCAACGTAATATCTAGGAGTCCTGGTTTGAGAAAAACATGTATGAGCTCTCTGTGATATTTGTGTGTGTGTATGTCAGGTATCTTCCTCCAGAGTGTTTTGTGGTGGGGAAGGAGCCCCCTAAAATCTCCAACAAGGTGGACGTCTGGTCTGTGGGAGTGATCTTCTTCCAGTGCCTCTACGGACGCAAGGTACAACACCACCTGCTACAGCAATGTAGCCCAATCAGGACCATTCTCGTGCTTTAAATGTTGTTTTCCGTATAACTGATGATCTCTCCTTGCTTTGTTTCCCCAGCCGTTTGGTCACAACCAGTCCCAGCAGGACATCCTCCAGGAGAACACCATCCTCAAAGCCACCGAGGTCCAGTTCCCCGCTAAACCCCAGGCTACCACAGAGGCCAAGGTAACACAGAACACTGTGTATGCCATTAAATATACAAACAGTTTTTAAAAATTCATAATCGAGCATAAGTTGAAATTTCACTATTTGATGTATTGATGTCCACCAAGTGCTTTCATACATAAGGCTGTTTACACATGCTGTACCATATGAATAATGTGCAGCTATAAATAGGTACAATATCTCCTCTTATGATTATGAAGTGTGTACACACACACACACACACACGTTTGCTAATAATTATCCCCTGCAGGCGTTTATCCGCCGCTGTTTGGCCTACCGTAAGGAGGACCGCTTCGACGTCCACCAGCTGTGCTCAGACTCCTACCTCCTCCCACACATGAGACGCTCCACCTCCTCCGGAACCCTGCAGCCCTCCTCATCCCTCGCCACCTACTGACTGTCACATGACTAACTCTGGCCTATCACAGAGCAGGAATCTATCTTTTCTGTTTGTTTACCTGAGCTGTTTCCAAATGGATGAATAAATAAGCAACAGAAATGGACAAAAGTAAGAGAGAAGGATGCTCCGTTTGCATATGTCCTTGAACTCAACATGTGAGGTAAGAAGAGGGGCTCGGCTTTGTTTGGAGCCATGGATTCTTTATGGACTTTAATAAATAACCCCGTAAGAGACATTTCAGAACCTATTGATGCCCTTTCCATGCCGCTGTTCCAGATGTTCTCTCGTCACTGATTGGACGTTGGCTTTGAGCAGCGGGCAGCAGAAGAAAGGGGTGAAGAGGTGCACGTTTCCATCAAGCTCAGATGAACACTGCAATCCATCTTTCCGTGGCACAAAATGACTCATAAACGTCAATTACTTCTACCCTTATAGTCCCTCTGCACTTAAAAGTGATGTTACCTTGATGGGACTTGAGAAAAATTGAGAAAAAAGATCCAGATTAAACTTCTGGTGTTTATTTGCACTTCCGATTCAGATCACGGTGATCTGGTGTCAACACATTTGGCATGAAGTACTTCAGCGTGGGCTCCATCAGTTCTACTTTTTTTTTTGTCGCGAAGCAATTCAGATCTACCGCCAAGTTTACAGGAAGTGGATCTGAGCATCTGTCTTAATTCATTTTTGTTGTTCAGATGAGATGTTTTTGAAACCGCTGACCCGAGGGACTGGATCAGCCGTTACTGCTGAACACTCGGTGTGCATTTCATGTGCTGGAGACATTACTCATTAGCAAATACATAAAACTGAGGCTTCTCCGTTGCTTCCCTGCATCTCACTGCGTTTATTTCCCAAAAGCTGTTCTCAGTTTGCTGCTATTAATGTTGCTTTTTTTGTTTTGAATTGTGTGAATGCCTCGCATATGTGCATACTTGAACTGAACACTGCAGACACCCTGCTGTGCTATTTTGTTGGGTGGGTGCAACACATTTGCAACCAACATGTCCACATTTGTTTTTGGAGCAGTAAGCTGCATAGAGAGGGACGGTCACACCTTCTCATGCCAGAAGAAGAAGCTGCTCTGGGCTGTTGCGGCGTGGTTTACTCAGAATAGAGAGAATATATCCAAATGTTGTCGTCCTGTAAATAAAACACTTACCTGTTTGTGTTGTGACATCATAAAACCCCTTTTTAAAATGTAGGCAGCCTGCCTTAAAGCGGGTCTGTGGTGAGAAATCTGATGTAAGGACGCAGGTTAGAATCCGACCTGTGGACACTTTACGCATGTTTACCCCCTTCAAATCTATCATTCTAAAAAGTTCTTAACAGGCCCAAAAATAATCTTTAAGACAAGTGGCAAGTCTTAATTGATTTTATTTTTACTAGAGCTGCCTGTTAGATGAACAGAGAAGCCAAAGAGAGATGTCCAGGAAGTACCTGCTCACGGTTTGCTGCTCACAAATAAATAAAAAGTGACGAAAGGTTTTTTTTCTCAGAATTCTGACTTTAGTTTCAGAACTCAACAAAAAAAATCACTTTTGGTCAAAAAGAATTGGCACATATGGCCCTGTCATCTTCCGTAGACACGGGTTAGGTGTCGAGTTTGATCAATTGTAATTATATCCAGTTCCTCTCCACTACTGTCTTAATTTCTCCCTTTTCTCATCTACTTGACATAAAAACAATGAAAATGGGTGCCGGTATTAAACCAAATGATTGACATACATAAAGATATTAATGTAAGTGCAGACTTTGTAAGCTACATGTGTGGGATCATATTTTTGGCGGGGTCAACGCTAGGCCATGTTCATATGCAATAAAGATTGCCTTACAAGTCTTAATTCCTGCAGTGTGACCGTATATTTACTGTCCAGGGTTTAGCGCCATCACTAGAAGAAGACGGAGCACAGGGAGTGACACAGTTAAATCATGGATGTATAATAAGAGTTGAATGAGGAAGCGCATTGTTCATTCTTAATACAGATTCACGATATTTGAAGGCATTTCTAAGGTGGATTTTCTCAAGAATTATACTTTAAACTGAAAAATTAACGTTGAAATATATTCAGTGTGCACAAAGATGCTATTTTATTTCCTTTTTATCTCAATATTCAATAATTACGAACCATTTTGTGTTTGGTTTGTTAGAGTATGCAAAAGAAACCCTGACTGTATAAAGACACAGGAAGCATCATGTAAAATTAATTTGGCTTTATTGCTTGCGCTGTACAGTGGGATATAAGCTGTTACAGTGACACCTGGTGGTCGTACTGCATCACTGCACCTGCCTATCAGTTCAGCCATGCCAGGAGGAGACGTAAAGTACTGCAAAAATAAGCACCTCCTCACCCATGTCCCACCCTCCCTACTGATCACACACAAAATGCAGCATGCTTTATAAGCATGCTGCATTTTGACCCCCCCCCGGCACGGCCTTTAAGCTGTTACCTCCCGGTGTGGTCAAAACGGAACCTATAGAGTTCTGGTTATACATACAAAGGGACAGACTAATAATTTCAGAACACAAAAAAGGTGGTGCAAAATAATGCAGCTTCATTCATTGGGTGGAGACACTCATACAGCAATTTCCAACAGAAATGTATACATGTCAATCAAATCGATCTATTGGTCAGGGGTGCCATTAACTAATAAAAGGTTACATGTCAGGGCTGGATGATGAGATCAAAAAAGTAATGGTTTACCTGTTTTCATACAGCAGTGCGTTTCTTCTGTAGACCCACTTTAGTCCAGTTTCATTTAAGTGTGGTAGGTTAATTTATAATGTAGATCCAGTAAATCTATCGTCCAGCCCCGTTAACATACACTGTTTATATATATATAAAAAAACAAGAGTGAAACAGAGAGGCTTGCCAGATCAGAAAGGGGGAAGTCCTTGTTGTGTGTGAGTGTTGTTAGAGTCCTCCTCTAGGGCGCGTGGACGAGCTCCGTGACGATCTGGTCATAAAGACATGTCGGTCCACAGCCGTCCTCCATTCTTCATATCCACTCATCCTTCATCGCTTCCTCACCCAAACCTGGAGGGTGCCCACCTGTGCGTGTCCCTCTTGGCCAAATAAATAGAAAAATACAGAGAAAGACAGACAGAGGGGGAGGGAGAGAAACCGGGTGTGTGTTTTGGTTTGATGGCAAGCGGGATGTTTCTCTCCCAGGTTATGAGGTTAGCGTTGTTTCCGTCGGAGGCGCTGATTCCGTGGTGTTCGAGGAGGCTGTTTCCGTGGGGACGGCGGCAGGCTCGGGGGCGGGCGCTGCCGTGACTGTGACGGAGGCTGTGGGATGGGGGGGCAGGAGGGGGAGCATCGCCTGGGGGAGGAGAGGGGGTAAGGGGGCCAGGCCGGGGAAGTTGAAGGAAGGGAGCGAAGCCAGAGAGGGGACTGATGGAGAAAGAAGAGAAAACAAGAGAAGGTGAGCGCATCGCTGCTAGCTTTTATATGTATAATGTTCACATTAAGCATCAGTGAGGGTGACCAGTAATACATACTACATAAAACAACATGGTATTTATATACTACATCTTTTGGGCAAAGATTGATGCCTGTTTTGTTTTGTGGGATAACGATGCTGTACTTACCGGTTCCTACTGGTAAGGTGCCTGCTAGGGTCATGGCACTGAGGTCTGGCAGTGTCAGGTTGAGGTTGGGCAGGTGAGGGAGCGGAGGCAAGCCAGCTGGGAGGGGCATCAGACCTACACACACACACACACACACACACACACAATGCTATTATACATTCATTCATTTTGAAATATATTTACACTACAGTTGGTCGACTCTTGTATTGTAATGAAGCCACTATGGAAAATAAATTAGAGAAGTTTTAATATTCCACAAGAGTGAATGTGATTTAACCCGATTTGGATAATCTCTTATTAAAACAAATGGATGGCGGGAATTCCGACAGTTCATGGTACCAAAATCAATAACTAGAATCAAAACAGAAATATTGCAAGGCGCCCGATAGGAACTTACACAAAGGCTATGTTTAGACATTGGAAGCAGTTGAGACCTAGTATTGTCTAATACAGTTGAGGCAGACATTTCTATGTTTTCTGGAAAGGTATGTAAACACTCATGAGAGAGAGAGGAGAGAGAGAGAGTGAGTGAGAGAGAGAGTTGTGTGTCTGCCACTGCTTTCCCAAACGTTTGCTATGCAAGGTTTGCTGACTCAGCAGACTGATGGCGTGTGTTTGGGATGAAAATGTCTGGAAAATCACCCACCTGGTAGCGTGGTGGCGGGGTTGAAGGCGGAGGCGGGGTTGAAGGCGGAGGCGGGGTTGAAGCCGATGGCGGCAGGATTCAGTGGAGTGAGTGGGCTGAGGGCGGGGCTGGTGGAGGTGGAGAGCAGAGGCACTGTAGGCAACCCTGAGGGGGGGTACAAATAACACGTTAGATTTAAATATGTGGAGTAAATACACCGTCATATAACCGATTACTTGGGTGAAAAAAGAGAAATACCTGTCTGCAGCTCCCGGGGCATGGTGGGCGGGGCCGTGCTGATTGACAGGCCAGACAGTGAATCTCCAAGGCCTGTGGGGGCAGAAGGGGCTGCAGGAGGGGGGGTCACTGCTGAGAGCTGCACCTGAAGGAGGCAGTGGAGGGAAAAGGTCACACTCATCCCAATGTATCACCACAGCTCTCCGTCCTCCTGCCGGCTCCGCTGCTTACATACTGAGGGAACCTGCATCTTTACAGTGTGAGCAGAGTCTAAAGAACACACAACTTCACATGTAATAAAAAAAATTAAAAAAAGGATTTCATGTTTTATTCCTTTTTTAAAGACCACATTTTTCAGAAAATCACTAAATTCTTTCCAAAAAAAACAAATTCCTTTAAATTACATAATTAAAAAAGTCCCCTTATTTTCCATAAATAATAATTGCGTTTATAAAATGGCTTCAGTTATCTGTAAATCAAATGACTAGATGATGTTCACGTCAGACGTAGGTACATTCAAATGGTGAATAAATGAGGTATTACATTAATACTTAAGATCTTTGCTTTGAGCATGTTTCCTATCCAAACTGAGGGTTTGAGTTAGATTGCTAAGTTCAACCCTGATTGTGTTAGTGTGTGTTCTGACCTCAGTGAATCCGTCCTTCAGCGGACTGAGGGGCTCACTGGGGGGGTTTCCAGGAAAGCTGATCTTCTTCCCCTCCTCAAAAGGCCTTGTAGGAATTCTGTGCAGGTAACCGTAGCCGATCCCACATCCAAGGCTGGAAAATGGAGGAACAAAAGTTAAGAATTGATCTAACAAACCTAAAATATATTTTTTTAAAACACTTTAGATTAGCCTGGTTCCAGACCACTGAATATAGCTCTGAATTGTTCTGAGATTGAAATAGGATTGCTCCATCTTCTCCTGCTTCATGCTCTTGTATCCGACCAACCAGTATATTGACCAATCAGCAAATGTTTAGGTACCTGCAGCTATTGGGAGGGGGGGGGGTTAAGGTGTGTGTGAAGAGACTGGCTTCTGCAAGAGTTTCATTGACAGGTGGTTCATCCAATCAGCTGCCCAGTATTTTTTTTTTTAAGTGGCTTCACTTTCCAGAACCCCTTCCACCAATGGCAGCTTCTTCTCAGATGGTTTTGTGTAAACAAACTGTCAGGTTAAAATTCCCCCAAGTGTGTTGTGAAATCAGAACTATATGGGTGGGGTTCAAATGGGGTGGCAATGTGTCTGTGCCAAACCACCGACTGTTTATAAAGACTCCAAAAATAATTACATCCAGAGAATTGGCCAGATAAACAGACAGAAATATTGAATCCTCAACCTGCAATAACAATCTGTATGCCCACTTGGGGGCAGTGTAAACAATACTGTCATATCATCACCTTTTAACAAGTGACCCTGTTGAGTTGTCTAATAAACAAATAAGATATCTGTTACTCAAAGAAATACGCTGTGTATATCCCTGTGCTCCATCAAATGGGTTGACATGCATTTACTTCCTTACAAAATGTTGGCAAAGTTGTTTTCTTTGTATTATTAAAAATACATCCCAAAATCAGGGTTTACTAGCATACTTCTTCTTCTACTGTATCTTTGCATGTTACTGCTGAATGAAATAGCGCAGTGATGTAAAACAATTGGCAGAAATGTGTATCCTGTCACCTTATTGAGTGTTCGTGTACTACGCATGATAAACAAACTCAAAGGAAATAGCTCCAAAGCGCTACTAGGGTACAGAAACGACTCAAGGAACCTTTAAGTTGATGTGGGTACATCTTAAGCAACATTATAATTCACTTTGAGCAATATTGAGTTTTTGGTCTCTACCAACTGCTTGAGGGAAATATCTGTCTCTTTAGCTGCTAAATGCTCCATTATGTTCCCCAGCTAGTCTCTTCTTATATCCATTTACTGTTCGATACTGAGCAGGTGGCTTATAGTAGATCTGGTAGCATCTACCCATAATGGAATGACAATAAAGTGAAATAAAATGTAATCATTATAGAGCTTTTTCCATTGAAAACCAGCCTGGACCGAAAACAACAAGTGAAAGTTGAAAACCAGTGAAAGTGGAAGTGAAGTTGCGAACCAGAGAGCTAAACAATGAACTATTAGAAACCTATAACTTCATTTTAAACCTGTAGGTCCAACAATGATTGGTAAAGTGTGTAACATCTGTTACCTGCCCTCTCCTCCCCAGGCACTGTTCGGTGTGATGATGACCTCTCTGCAGTTATCGGTGTCCGTGTTGTACACGTAGAGCTTCAGGCCTTTCCCTTCATGGCTTTCTATCAGCGAGAACAAGTCCTCTGACTGCAGATAGAGTAACAGAGGGGCGGAGGAGGTGGATAACGTTAGGAGACACACATTCACTATCATTATCAGGTGGAGAATGTGCAGTAGTGACAGTTGCCTGATAACATACCTCGTTCATTACAGTGTCAGCTCCAATGATGTAGTCAGTGTGCGGCCGCAAGCCGGCGAGGGCCGCCGGGGAGTTGGGCTCCACATCCTGTTAGACAGGTGGAGAATAAGTTAACAAACTAGCATTCTAACAAAAAACTATATTATAGGAGTGGTGCAGGAATGAGCCTTAAACCGGGTAATGACTTTCGGGTTCGCTTGTCAGAAAGTCAATGTTTATTGACCGAGGTATGTGGTAAACACAAGCTTAAGAGATGTTTCCGTTTTGTTTCCACAACATAAAATACGTGGGTAGATATTACACTCATAACACATAAATGTTTAAAGTTTATAACATGTCTTAAAAATGGCGATTGCAAACAAGTGATTAAATAAGACTACTTATGTTATCACGTCCAAAATTAGCTGCCTTTAGCTTAGCGGTGTTTTTTGCATTACGTTACATATTTACATCTGTCGATTGCAATTATACTTTTATAAAAATGGTGTTCATATTTAGAGATTATCCTGCTGTAGAAAAAAATCTAAGTATCCTTGTCGAGACGAAAATCAATATGGTAATATCTGTGGAAAACGGACTGAGATATAATTATGTGGTTTTCGTTTAGAGTAGTATTATTATTATTATTATTATCATTATTATAGTATTATTCGTTTTATTTTGGATAGCGTAGGCTACTTTAAATGTTTAAAGTGAGCTGTATAGAAAAAATATGAATGCCGCTTCCGGTAAACACGGCAACAAAAGGGGCGTAGTTTGTGATGGCCGGTCTCTTGTTCTCAAAGCCACGGAGGGAGAACCAGGCAACAGTGTGTGTGTGAGGCTCCAGAGACGCCGTTGGTATGTTTCGCCGGTGTTAATTGTGTTTTGTGTTTAGGCGCTTGATCTGTTGTTGCGAGAGTGCTATTGCGCAATCGTCTGCTTTTTACGCAGCGCGGTCTGCCTGTGCTCCGATGTTTGCTGTGTAATTTAGACAGCAAAGGTGTTCAGATGAAGTTTTCTCTGGTGCTTGTTTCGAGATAAACACTCGGATTAATTCATTTAAGTTAATGATGTGGGTTTAAAATAACAATTTATCCTTTTTATTAAAACATGGTTTGTGTTATTGAGAATGCAGTGAGGCCTGCAAAATGTTTGTAATTTGTGTAGCATGTGAGCGAACATTTGTTTGTATTTTGTGTTTTGAAGGTTTTCAACCTGATGAATTCTTGGAGCTGTCTTAAATAAATAAAGACAAAAAGAACGAAATTTGAGTTGTCCAAGCGTCCTCTGTTGCCCTCCAGCCTCTCAAGTCAGGCTAAATCACTGATACAGGCCAAAACCCTGAAGGACTTGACAATCCTAAAAGTGAGCCTTGCTCTAGATCTTATTTTTTGCAATATTCCCAAAAACAATTCAAAGAAAGCCGTTTGTTTTGGTTGAGGTAGCCCTTGTGATGCTAATTTCCAGGTCATCCTAAGAAAAAGACATTATCATGGCACCACTCTATAGACTTTGAGGTTGCTTACCAGCACATGCCAAACGTTTTCATTGGCTCCCTCAAAGCTGCAGAATCTAATGGAGACACCAAGCAAGCCCTGGCCCCCCCACAGGTTGCTGGGGGTAACTGTAGACTCCCGCAGCTCCAGAGTCTTGGAAGAGTAAACCAGCATCTTAACTGGTTTCTCCACACTGGCTTTCAGAAGGTCTTTCAAGGTATCATTGTCCTTGTTCTGTAGACAGAGGGGTGAGGAAGAGCACAGGGGCATGACACATGCAGTTCACTATCATAACACTTGTATTTGCTCCTGTTAAGATACAGTTTGCAGGTTTTCCCTACCAGTCTGGTGTCGTTGATGGAGACGATGAAGTCAAAGAAAGGCTCCAGTCCGGCGCGGTGTCCAGGCGAGTTCTCTTGAACCTGAATAAAAGTGAAAGAAAATTAGCTGCTGCTTTACAGTCACTTTCTGCATTTCATTTCTTGAACATGAAGAGTATTCAATAACTCTGTACATACAAAATAAACAAGTAAAACCTGAGCTGGAAAACAAATATATCAGGCTTTGGTTTGGTTTGATTTGAATTGAAACTCACGATTATCATTGGCTCAATGTACATTACAGTATATAGCAGCTAAAAAGGTTTATTTGATCTCGGCTCCTTTCAGGATGGGACCAATTCCGCTATGGCTATTGTGCATCTAGCTACTAATGTTATCATTCAAATTAGCTGATTGTTACTGGAATAAGACAACTGACAGTAGCTGTCCATTGTTAGCTAGCTTCACGATTCTTCGTAATTTATATTTTGCAAAACAAGAGAGACAAATCATTGTACACAGGGTGGGACATGTCCGATATTGGATGCACCAACAAAACCAGCTTGGCAGCTGTCATTCAGTGCGGATACGTAGCTTTGGCTAGCCCCTCTCCATCAGTTAGCTTCTGTTAAGCATATTTAACTAGCGAACAAGCAGCGATTCGTACAAACACAACTATACAAAATATATGACTGACACAACTCTAACGAAGAGTGCATTGTTTCTAACACTGTGTTTGTGTTTCACGACGGAGGCCCCTGCAGTCATCCTCGGCCTCTCGTCAACACACAGACCAGGGAGTCCTCCGCCTCTGAGCCGAGGCTAAACTAACAGCTAACTGGTAACTGGTAACTGCTAACAGCTAACAGCAGGGTGTAGAAGCTAAAAACTCACCCTGAGGACGTGGTATCCCTCGGAGCCTCCCCCCGGTATCTCCACACTCTGCGAGCCTCCCATGTTATGCTCTTTTAAGGCTTTTTAGGTTCAAATGGCTGTTTGTTACCTAGCAGAGGTGATATGCCTGAATACTTGTACACACCGGGTACACGTCGTCAAATGGTTAGCTGAGCGATGCGCATGCGCCGTTACGTGGCAGGAAATAACGCCTATTCGTCAGTGACGATTCAATTGCAGTTGAATTCAATTTGTTGATCGACAAACACATAGAAGATGTAAAATGTTATGTTCTATGGAATATGTGTTGTATGTGCTTTATTTTTTTACGTTTAAACCTTTCTCTCAAATCTCTTGGTTCACTTGTCGAAATTATTGAATCAACATTTATAAATTACGAACTGTGTAGAAATGTCTATGACCTGCTGTCGAATATCTGTTTGCTCACAATTCTTTCAAGACAAAAAAGAAAATAATTTCAGTTAAAATGTCCAAATGTTCTCAAAGGTTTATTTGTAATTCCAAAGAGAGTTGAGTCGAAACACAAAGCGTAGAAAAAGCTACTGCTTACAAAACACAGAACTTTTTTATTTAATATTTATCTCAGGTTTAAATATTTTTATAATATAGTAATCATCCTATCAAACCACTGTAAAGCGTCTTTGAGCACCTGGAAAAACGCTTTGAAATAAAATGTATTATTATTATCTTGGCATCATTTTTGGGATCACCATTCACTACTTAAACCACTATAATTTATAAATGTAGGTCTATACTACAATTACAATTATAAAAAAATATTATGCCACATGAAATGAAAGACAAAGCTGCAAACTCACTTGATTTTATTCAACAACAGTCTCTAACTTTATTATTCAATGCAAAGCTTTGTGAAAGTTTGCCTATTCTTTTAAGATATCTGCCCTCATTGACCATTTACAAGTCTAATTTAAATATACAATAGCCTTATAAAGTGCATTGTATCAATTATCCTGCTCTGTTGTCTCAGTTGACCTACTGTCTCTAAGAAAGGTTAATTAAACTGTAAATGCACTTGAAACAAATGGCCTAATCAAATGTTTTAATGCCAACCATAAAACTTGTGCCTTGCCTTTTACTTTGAAACTCATTCAGTTCAAGATGGAAAGAACTAGGACTCCATTTACAGTAGGTGCATGTGCTATCATGCATCAACATTTTTTTACATTTCAGACGATGTTCATGCAGCTCATACCTGCATAGTGCTGCATACATTCATTTAAACAAATTGCTCCTGCAGCTACCTTTTCTTGGTCTAAAATGTAAGCTTTCATTTCCCGGTCTTTATGGAGCAAGGATTTAAGTTTTAGAAAAATTCCAGCTGTACTTTGCCAGAAAGCTTGTGTGTCACAATTTCAACATGCTGTTATCATGTTACCTACGGCTACGACAGTGTTAACCAAGTATTTTTATACCGTTTTAGATAAGGGTCACCCCTTATGTCCAAACATACATTTGAAATCAGGTCCCCCCTTATCTGGATAGACTCTTTAGATAAGGGGGTCTTCCTTTATGTCCGGAACTAACTTTTTAGATAAGATTCTCCCCTGGTGTCCAAAAATAACTTTTTAGATAAGATTCCACCCTGATGTCCGAAAATAACTTTTTTAGGATTTGTAGGGGGCGCTATAGAGCCATTTGTACCGATTAAGAGACCCCAAAAATAACCCCTTTTTTCACCAATCCTGCCAGTGCGCAACACATCCCCAGGATTTAAGCATGCTAAGGCCACCAGGCATGCAGCATCGAGCAATTTCAATAGGTTCTTCGCTCCAACTCTGTCGGTAGCCTAATAAAAGAAAATCAAATATATATATATCTGTTACAATGATTATTGTGGTTTTATTCTAAGCTATAAAACCCCTTGTAGCACATTGAGAGCACCATTATGCTCTCAGCACGATGGTTGAGAAAAAGTGGCCACCAGAGGGCGATGGCAGCACATCACATCCTCATTGAACCTCACAGCACCACCACCCTTCTCTTCAAATCATTTACCCTACATGTTAAGGTAACCAATGTCTTTGATTCTCCTTAAATCATGGCTTAGTGAGGCTGCATCACATATTTCTGGTAGGTGAATAAAGGCAAGACGAGATGAGAGGAAATTCAAAAAGTAAAGGAGGAAAAACGAGGAACGAGATGGAGAGGGAAGAATAAAGGAGAGAAGGAACTGATAAGAGACTACCCCTCATTGGACATTTGCTCGCTCTGCGAAGTGGCACGACGCTGTCTTATTACTCTCGTGTACAAAATCCAAGAAAGATAGGTCCAGAGACAGATTCGTGAGACTGGCCGAGAGATCTCGTATCAAGTAGGAGATCTGTTTTATTATATTATATAACACTTCCGAGGCCCATGTACGATTTGTAGATTACAATACACCACACCGGCAACCTATTTCATAACACAAAGACAACAACAAGCAGAACACACAGGACTCACACAAAATTTGTTTACTTTTCCCTCTTTTCCCGTGTCTACTTTTATAATTATTGGATAGTATTGTAAATAAGACGAGATAGTATGTAAACGAATCTAAGTACCCGCGAAAGTGCGACATGTATAACAGTAGAGGTTGGATTTCGTTATTCCTCACACCACACACACACACACACCACACACACACCACACACACACACACACAGACGCGTCCCACAGCAAACTGTGGACAGTACATAAACTTCGAACAATTTTATTCGAAATATATTTGTATTACAACGTGTGGTATTCATCGGTCGACGTTATAATTTATAAATTAAAGTCTAAATTTTCGATGGGAATTTTCAGACACTGGTGAAGTTGAGCATTTTGCAGACCGTAGCTAACAGAGAACAAAGTACGTTAGGCCTATACACATAATATATTTGCAATTTATAACTAATTATTAGAGAAATAAGTCGTAAGGGTGAAAAAGTCTAAGTCCATAAAATACATTACATAGAAATACACATATGCGCATATGTAAACCATACGGTGCCCTTGACTCATTCAAAAAAATCACCTATACAGGCGTTTCTTCACTTAGCCCTTGTACTCGTTAGTAGCTAGGAAGAATATATCTAAATATCCACAAACCATTTTCAATGGATTTCATAATAAGGAGGTGACGCTACGTTAGAATATACACAGCACAAAAAGGAACACTAACACGTCATAAAAACTTACTAGAACTCTACTGACCGAAGGACTACTCTAATTCTTACTTCAGATATATATCAGCTATTATATAAGGGAACAGCAGAAAATAAAATCTCTTATCGTGTTCCCACCACTCTTGACATAGAGGGAGACTCTGACCCTTTCTTTCATAACAACAGAATTAGGATTACGTAAATGACATTATCATATATAAGTAAACATTTTGTATAAGAGTCACATTACCTCTTGAGCTACCTTATAGACCATATTGGTCTTCAAGGACAAATACAGAAACGTGTTACAAGTGGAAGAAAGAAGTTAACATTTACCTACACATAATACCGTCATAACTATATGCTCAAATACAGTTGTTTCATACAATACCATAGATCCCTGGTATAATACACTTACCGTGTAAACCGTATTTAGTTACTAAATGTCATTACACAACCAGGACATACACCGGTTTACTGAGACGAACACTGGTTTAAACCAAAAACTCTTCGGTCGACATTCCCTTGCTCGTCCACCCCGTGAAATTGTTTAGGATTGGCTAGAAGTTTATAGAAATTATTTCAGGGAATTCTCCCTTTGGTACTCGAGCCTGAATAACTTTGTGAGAGAGTGTGTGTGTGGTGTGTGTGTGTGTGTGTGGGTTGTGTGTTGTGTGTGTGTGTGTGTGTGTGTGTGTTTACAGAAAGAGTGTGTAGTTGTAAAATAAGACAATCCCGAGTTGTGCGACTCAGAAAAATGTGGTAAGGAAAAACACATTATGATTATACAGGGTGAAAGGGAGACTTGTCGGTACATGGTTTGTATGTGTGTCTGTGGGCGGGGTGGGGTGTGTGTGTGTGTGTGAGTGTGTGTGTGTGTGTGTGTGTGCGTGTGTGTGCGTGCGTGCGTGCGTGCGTGTGTGTGTGTGTTGTGTGTGTGTAAATAACCGGAAGACGGATTAGTAGGAGCTCCTCGAAAACAACCGGGGGGGCGACTCACGCCTAACCGCAAG